GCAGATCTGCCCTCACAGAGGAGGGAGAGCTTGTACCTGAAGGCGGGATGGGGGGGCTCTGCAACTTACCTGGCTGCTTCTTGCTCCTCGTGGCCTGACTGAGGGCTGCTGGGAGCAGGGGCAGGGCTTGTTGCATGTGCCCGCCCCCTGGGCTCCTTACTGCTGGAGCTCTGCTCCTGTGTGCTCCCACAGGAAATGACCCCTGGCTACAACCAACGCTCCCTGTAAGCTGTGGAGTCTTGTGAGCAAAAATTCTACTTGGTGAGTTACTGGCATTGAAGGTGTGAGCGAGCAATTTGGCTGCTGCATACAGTCATTTGCCCTGGAGCCCCTCCTTCCTGAGTTAAGACAAAAATGTGTGAGCCGGAGGCTACAAAACTGACTCAGCACTCAGACTTAAGAGGCGAACCTGAAACTTAGGGAGTCTGATTAGGGACCGGGAGAAATGGACAGTCAGTCGCGGAGGAAGAAAGCCCCGCTTCCTTTAGCCGGATTCCCGTCCAGCCGCAAAGGCCCCCTCTGACTTGGCATTCTTCTTTCCGTTCCCTTGGCAGACCGCAGCGGGCTGATCTGCGTCGACAAGATCGAGAAATGCCAAGAGACCTACCTGTTGGCGTTCGAACACTACATCAACTATCGCAAACACAACATTCCCCACTTCTGGCCCAAGCTCCTCATGAAGGTGACCGACCTGCGCATGATCGGGGCTTGCCACGCCAGCCGCTTCCTGCACATGAAGGTGGAATGCCCCACAGAGCTCTTTCCCCCACTCTTTCTCGAGGTCTTCGAGGATCAGGAAGTCTAGGGTGGGGGGGAGAGGGAGGGAGGGAGGGAGCAAACAGGGTGGCACGGGAGAGTCGGGGAGGCAGGCGGACCGGGACTGGGGCGACGTCTGGACTTGGGCCACAAAGCCCCCACCTCATCACTTCGGACACAAACAGATTTTCAGAAGAAAAATCTCTCTTTTTTGTTCTGTTTTGTTGTTTTCATTTTTTTTTCCTTTTCCTTTTTGTTTTTCCTGTTTTGTTTTTTCTAAATATTGCACGTCAGCATCAGCGAATCACACGGAAGCAGGAGGTGAGGCGTCGGCAATAGGGGCTGGGACACCAAAAAAAAGGAAGGAAGGAAGAAAAAAGAAAAAGGTTGAACTTATACAAAAAACCTTCCTTACAAGGTAGACTTGTGCAGTAGCCAATGCTTTCATCTAGGCAGACTTTAAAAAAGAAAATTGGGCAATATGATCTCCCTCCCTGCTTATTTTACTCCCGCCAAATCCCCTTTTTTTGTCCCGAAGTTGTCTTTCAGGGGTGAGACACATTGTCTTAAATTTTAACACAACGAGGGGGGGTGTCAATCCACATACTACTCTCCCCACCCCCCCAGAAAATCCTTTGCCCTTCTCCCCATCAAGAAAGAGTTTACCCACCCACCCCCCAGCACTGGAAACAGCCAGCGCCTCTGTGCTTGAGCCCTGATCCAAACCTCTCTCGTTTAAATGGACTTGATTACCAATATATATAAATATATATATGTTTCTTTTGCACATAACAGTCCCAGGAAACGTTAGAGTGTGTTTGCTTGTTTTATTCTTATTTTTCAGTTTCTTTTAGAACTTTTAGCATTTAGTTATCCTCCCTAGGAGGCTAAAATATAAAATGCACTTTTTTTGTAAAAGAAATAAAGATTTTTTAAGAAAAAGAAAGGAAAGGAACAGAGAGAGAGACAGAGAGAAATCCTATTAAATTATTGATGGGGTGGAGGGTGGTGGTGGAAGGAAAGTCCTAAGGTTGTTTGGCTAAAAACAAAATAAAAACAACCCAGCAAACTGAGGTTCACAGTCCTAAGCGGGAAGGACAGATGCACTTTGAAATAGGAAAAGGACGCCCCTCCCCCCGGACTTCTCCTCCCCTACTGGGAAAAACAGGTGATTGAGTGAGAAATCTTATTTTATATTGCTTTGAATCGCACTGCAGGGCTCGAACTTACAGGGGCGCCGGCTTCTTATTCCAGTGCTGAGGGGTAAACTCATCACTTCCTACAAGAAATAAAACATCAACCCTCCCACCCCTCTCCATTCCCTGGAACCCCCTCCTCTCCCTGTGGCCAATCTACCTCCATGTTGGGCAAGGAAGGCGGGAGGGGGGTCCCTAATGTCCCCACTTACACTGCCCCCCCCAGCTGCAGACCTGCATGCATCGCTCCCACGGGGCTCAGAAGCGGCCCTCGCTAACTCTTTGCACATGCTTTCCCACGCCACGTGGTGGTACAACAACCCTTGCTGCACTAACGTCCTTTGCCCTCCCTTCCACGTTCTTCTCTCTGGGGGGAGGCAACGAGCCAGAAACCTTGACTCTTCCCCGTTCCTGGAGAACCAAGTAAGAGTCGAATGCTTCACCCCCCCCCGCCCCTTGATTTTTGTTCTTGTTGTTCTTGTTGCAAATGGCACTTATCAATGGAGAGGACAGGAAGTTGATAAGATTCACAGGGAGGTGGCTGCATCCCCCTGACTCCAGCAGTTAAGGGAGGGGAGGGGGCGACTCGCTCTATGTAAGGGAACGGGGGGGGGGTGCCAAGCTGCTTGCTGTCCCCTTAAAGCCCTTTCCCCAAGAATATCCCGTGCCCGTAAATATTCAGCCCTGTTCTTGCACCAGTCATGTTCACGTCCATGGGGTCAAGGGCAAAGCCTTCCATCAAACTGTGCCCACGTTCCATCTCTGGGGACCAGGGGTGGGGAGCCACTGTTTGTACGAGGAGGGTCAGCCCTCTCCACCCCAATCCCATTTCCCTTTCAGATTGCCGCGGCAGTCTTTTGTAGCAAAATTAAACAGGAGTCCAGGAGCACCTTCCAGACGATCATAATTTCTTCCAACGGAATCTTTCATGAGCTCCTGGAATCTTCAGGGTGGATTAAATTGTGTTCATCGTTCAGGTGCCGCTGGGGTCCCGTTTAACAAAGAAATCCTGTCCTTCTGCACTTGTGTGGCGTAGACGCCTCTGACACCGTTGGGCAGAACCAAGCTCTTGGGTTGCATGCACTAGGTGGGAAGAAACGGTGGCCGGGTCTTTCTGAGCCTTGTTCCCAAAGAAGGATGGCAGCGTGTGTTTTTAAAAAAAACAAAACAATGCAGGCAAGTCACATTTGGAAAAGCCAAATTAGGCAAGCAGGTGATCCAGAAATCAGGCGACGAAGAAGCGCCCTGGATTTTCACACTCGGACGACCTTCTGTCTTGTCTGTTGGGGACATCTCTTCATTGTTGCCTTCTCGCTGTCTATCTGTCCCTGGTTGTTTGGGGAAACAGGCCGACCCTCTAAAGCCGTGATCAGCACTTGCTCCATTCATGAAAGCCACAGTGGGGGAGGGACAAGAACTAGTGAACCAGCCCCCCCCCCATCCCCACCACCTACTTCCCCCAAATGGACTGCCAACCAAGCCCCATTCCCACCGCCAACAGACAGACTGTTTGTGCAGCTCTCTTGCCTCTGGGTTGGCAACTGGGCCGCGTTGGCCGGGGGGGGGCACAGACCGATGCTTCTTAGGGTGTCAGATCTGGGCCCCAAACCTTCAGTTGCTGATTCCTGTGCTAAAGATGGGAGTTGTGGATTTTTAACAAAAACAAAGAGAAGACCACCAGCTTCCTGATTTCTTCTTTCTCTCTGTTTCATTTTAACACAAACCAGACTGTGACCATCTTAAAGACAAGTATTTTCGGCACTTAACGCTGTTAATGGGTTGGGCCTCTCTCCCAAGCCACTTCTTCTGTGATAGATCCATCTTTTTCTTCGCCGATCTGTTAGGCAAGACTTCTTTTTAAAGCTGTAATGTAATAGTGGCGTGCGGGAGTAACTTCCCCCCCCATTTTTACTCCCCCGTCTCCCGATATCTCCTTTGCTTTCTCTGTCTCTCTCTGTGTCACTTGGTTTCCGTTGAGAAAAACCCTTTACCTCTTACCTCATTCAAGACGCTGTGGGAAATGTTAAATGATGGTTTGGGTGCATGTTGGATGTACCGCCCGAAGGTTCAGGGGGCGGCGTGTGGAGAACACAGCTCCAATTTAAGCTAATATACAGAAATATATATATAAGTATGTATAATTTTTTTAATTAACAAGGAAAAAAAATCTTTGTACGGGTCTGTTCACAAGAAAAAAAATATTACGCAAACAAAATTGGGGTTGGAAGAAAAAAAAGTAGTTTTTTTAAACCATCTTAAAATGACGTGAGGTTGATATGGGGGGGGGGGGGGGGGGGGAGAAACTGCTGCTCAGTCGGTACTAGAACGTGGTCCAGAATCCTGATTACCATATATGAATAGGGTTGGTTGTATTCAGGCCTGCGATTCTTAACTTGCCAACCCCACGCAAGCATAGAATTTGGTAATGTGTAAAAACCCTGAGAGTCTCTTTAAAAAAAGAAGGAGGAGGAAGTTTTTAGTCCTTAAGCGTATGAGCGAGACTTAAAATAAGCCTGGTGAAATCTTGAACCCAGAGTGGAGCTAAGCAGGATTTCTACTGCAGGGGCAGAATAAATTATGCAAAACAGGCCACCGATATTGCAGTTTTGCTTAATTATTCAGCTGTTCTTAGCGTGGAATCCAGTCTTTGTCAGTATGAGAGATTTTAACTTTTTTTTTGTTGGTAAGCTCAGAATGATACAAAGCTATAATTGTTTTCCCCGTTAACTTTGTCCCCAGGGAACTGCAGATGTGTCCATTGGAGCTGCATTGGGGGGGGGGGGACAATGCAGTTGTATATTTCTTGGCCTGGAAAATGTGAGTTAAGCTGGAGGGGGGGCGCTGTGGCATGGCATAAGAGTGTGGGGGGGGGCTGAAAGCGTGGATTCAGTGGCCCCTCTCCTACCCTTGCAGTTCCTCATTTAAAACACTTTCCAGCCCCACAGAAAGAGTCTTTAAATGGATACTTCAGTGTTTTGGTGCTCAATTCAGCCTTGGAGAAGCAACTAGCTCACAGAGATCACCTGCCCTCTGCCCCCCCCCCGTCCCTTTGCCACAGGACCCCCCCCCCGTGTGCTAGGCCCCTTCCCATTTACAGCCCCTGCTCCCTTTCAGAAACCTGCTTTGCCCCCAACCCACCAATTCTGCGGCTCTTTTTAAAGCAAGCATTATAGAGACACTCGTGCACTTAACTCCTGTGTGATGTGCGGTGTGCTAAAAAAGGTGTGTGTGTGTATGTGTGTCTTTGTGTGTGGGCGGGTGGGTGCGCACTCACCAGGCTGTCCGTCCAGAAACTACCTTTATGCAACTTTGGCTGTGATCCAATCCACACTAACTCAAAAGTTAGTGGTTTGCTTTTGAGTAAATGTGTGTCTGGACGAGCCGCTAGGCTCTCGCCTCTTTGTCTTAGAGGGCCCTGGAGGGAAACAGAAGATTTTGGGGTGGGGAGTGTCCTTGAATAACTACCCGAGGGTTTATTGTATAAACATCCGAATCTGCCTTACAGGAGCCAAATCGTCAGTCTATCTAGCTTATAGCGTCGTGTGCTTCGGTTAGCAAACGATCTCCAGGTCAGATTGGAGCTGTTCGCCCTCGTGCTCCTTGAAGACCAAATTAGACATACCGTGCACGCAGAATATGTAGGCAGGTTTCTTCTTAAGTTGAAATAGCAACACAGGGAAGGGGATAATTAACCATGTATCCATTGGCCCTTTTCCAGATCGGAATCCCGCCCCACCCCCATATACATGTGTATGTACACACATAGGGAGGGGAACTCTTTTTATTGGAGACAGCCATGTGTTGAACCTGTCACTATCTTCACACCATTCCTGTTCTCTGCCGTAGAGTCAGG